GTTCTAAGAGCAAGTGCACAGCACTGGAAACACCTGGAAGGGCAAGGAAAGGTTTTGATAGGTTTGGAGCTAGAACATAAGAAACAGACGCTAAGTGGGGGCATGGAATGTACACATAGGAACCATCTAGACTAGAGTGTAAGGGATGGGCCCATGGGGAGATGTTTTAGGTACAAGAGCAACAGAATTTTTTGTTCTGTTCAATTCTTGGGATTAATATATTTCCCTTGCTTGCCTTCTCCTATCATCTTTGGTTTTTAAAGCAAATCAAGACAAAGGGATCTGGGTAGCCCTGTTGTATTAAATCTTCAGTGGCTCAATTAGTCAAATTCCTGGAAACCTAAGTTCTTGGGCCACAAGAAAAGGAGGTGACCACCCACCACCTCCGCTGTCCTGGGTGTTCTAAAACAAGTATATATGACCATTCCTTGTAGAAAAGTACTCTTGTAGGCAACCCATCCTATTTACTCAATTTTTCCACTTAAAATCATCAACAGTCAGCCCTAGTCAGTTTGGCTCAGTGAACAGAGCATCAGCCTGCAGACCAAAGGGTCCCGGGTTCAATTCCAGTCATGGTCATGTACCTTGTCCGGACCCTGGTTGGAGCATGTGCGGGAGGCAACCAATCAATGTGTTTCTCTCACATCAATGTTTCTCTCTGCCTTTCCCTCTCTTTTACACTTTAAAAGATCAGTGAAAAAATATCCTTAGGTGAAGATGAACAAAACAACAAAAAATCATCAACAATCAAGTTTTAAGACTCACTGTGATTAATGTCCCAAGATTCAAACTTTAGTCTCATCTTTACAGTTTACACTCTCTCCCTCAGGAATCAGCTCCTTCTATACCTCTTACTGCCTCCTTTGGTCATATGCCCGCTAATGCCTTCTGGGCTCTAGCCTAACATCCCCACAGTGGATTCCTAGAGCAGTTGCTCAGAGACTGAATCAGGTCTGTCTCCACCTGCCCCAATACATCAATGTGCCAAATCCCATTGGGGGCATATAGATAGCCCTCAGTGAGTGTGTGCTATATGAATATACAAATGAATGGCACCAGGGATCCTAGGCTCACTCAAGTAGCTGAGCATAGTGGAATTCCACCTCCAGGAACCCCAGCTGTACACTTTTATGCCTTCCTTTTTTCAGCACCAGAGCCATGGAGAAATGAAGAAGAGAATAAGAATGTAAAGAATTCCTCATGATGCCTGGAGGGGTGAGGAATGATGGCCCTCTGAGAGTAGCAGAGAAGGGCCCGGTTGTCCTTAGTGCACTGCTTCCATCAGAAAATCTCTGCTGAGGGATTTCCTCGGCATCCACAGCTAAATGTGGCGCTGAAGTCACTGATGAAGACATGTCACCTGGGAATGGAACTCCAGCTGGTGAATGGAGTCAGAGGTGACAAGCTTATCTGGGTTCACTGAAATCACCCAGACCTTCTCATGGACACGTGGGCATCCTGGGATGAGAAGCCAAAGGGGGGCCTCTTCTGCCCTTCAGCGGCAACTCACACTCTGCCCGGCGTGGGCAGCACCACCTCAGTTTCACACAGCAGGGAAAGTCAGCAGTTAGCAGGCATGGCAGCTTGGTGACTCAAGTCTTTTGGCCAAGAGTCATTCCTTTACTCGTCCCAGTATCTGCCAATGAAACACAAATCTCACATATTAAAGTCAAGCTCTATTTCAGCTCTTGCTGCTCTATAGGAAATTTTACAAAACTGGAAGTTACAGAGTTCAACCAGTATATTTTTGAATGCTAAATTAGACAGTATAAAGACTGCTTCATACCAACACTAGTAGCCCCAATCCTATATAATATAACCCTAATAAGCAAATCGACCAAAAGGCGGAATGAACAGTGGAACAACTGGTCACCATGATGTGCCCTGACCACCAGGGGGCAAACACTCAACACAGGAGCTGCCCCCGGTGGTCAGTGCACTCCCGCAGAGAGCACCCCTCAGCCAGAACCCAGGCTCACGGCTGGTGAGTGCAGCAGTGGTGGCAGGAGCCTCTCCCACCTCCACGGCAGCGCTAATCAAGCTGAGCAGTAAGGAGCAGCAAGCAGGTGAGCAGTAAGGAGCGAGGGGTCCTGGAATGCGAGAGGGCACAGTCTGGGCTGAAACGCCCCCCCTCCCCCTCCCCCCGTGCATGAATTTCATGCACCAGGCCTCTAGTACTTTAATAATAAAGTTCAGGTTTGTGTTAAAAAAATATACATGCTGCTGCTTTTTGTCTAGAACAAAGACATAAAAACCATGTCTAGTCTATGTATCCAAATATTTCCTAAATCTTTTTAATGTCAGAAAGTAACCATTATGAAAAGAACTTTCATTTCGGGCTGGCCCTGGTTTGTTACATTGAAGGGGTCATAGGTCATATCTATTTAACTCTTCTCTACTCTAGTGATCATTTAGAAAGAAAATGGAAGAAAACCAAAACTTACCACATCAGAGACACCAGTGCCATCACACCAAGATTTGGAACAGAAGGAAACTTGGGGGCCTCCAACCTTGGCAATGTCCTTTCAAGTTGAAATGTCAGTTACTTGAAGCAAGTCTGGGGATTCATTCTGTTACAATTTACTACAATGAGTATTTCCATAGAGTTAGTGTAGGACCTTTGATTCTCTATAGTATAAGTTTGTGAGTTCAAGCAGATGTGACCAACATGAACCTTAACATGAACCTTATGTCAATCCTCCATGTAGATGCTAATTAGTAGCTGCATTCTCAGGTCTTCACCATTGCAATTATGAGCCATATCCTGCTTTCTCTAGTGTGCTATATAGGTATATGTTAACAGCCACTGAGTTTAGCCTCTCAGACTTACATTCAAAATAGGAAAAGGTTTCCATTCAGGGTACAGTGAAACAAGTTAAATTATAGCACAAGAGAACAAACAAATCCAGAAGGTGGAATATTCTACAGGATCCCTGACCCCGTTTTTGCAATAGTCAATGACATGGGGAAGGGGGGAGGGGAAAACAGAGGGGAATTTGCTTGCTCTAGATCAGCGGTTCTCAACCTGTGGGTCGCGATCCCTTTGGGGGTTGAACGACCCTTTCACGGGGGTCGCCTAAGACCATCGGAAAATACATATATAATTACATACTGTTTTTGTGATTAATCACTATGCTTTATGTTCAATTTGTAACAATGAAAATACATCCTGCATATCAGATATTTACATTACGATTCATAACAGTAGCAAAATTACAGTTATGAAGTAGCAACGAAAATAATTTTATGGTTGGGGGTCACCACAACATGAGGAACTATATTAAAGGGTTGCGGCATTAGGAAGGTTGAGAACCACTGCTCTAGACTGAAAGATTAAGAAAACACTACCAGATGTGGTGGGTGGACTTCATGTGGATCCTGATTAGAACAAAATTACTGTCCAACCACATTTTTTACCTTCAGGGCAATTGATTTTGCCCGGGTATTAGGTAATACCAAGAAATCATGGTTTATTGTTAGGTGTGATAATGGCATTCTGGTTAATACAAGAAAATTACCCTATTTTCTAGAGATATTCACTGAAGGATGTGGGGACAAAATGAAATGCTATCAGGGAAATACTTTAGCAAAGAAGAAGGAAATGAGGGATTATATGAAGTATCTGGGGCAAAATATTGGTAATTGCTAAATCTACATGATCAGTACATAAGGGTTCAATTTACTATTCACTTTTTAAAAATTAAATTTATTGGGGTAACATTAGTTAATACAGTCATATAGGTTTCAGGTGTGGGTTTCTATGTTACAAGTTCTGTATATTGCATTGCGTGCCCACCACCCAAAGATCTGACCCAAAGTCAAATCTTCTCCCATCACCATATATTAGGCAGTATTATTCACTCTTAAAATATTTTTTCATGTTTAAAAACTCATGTAAAAAAATTGAAGTACTGAACTAAAATATTTGGTAATAAAACATAAAAGTTCCTCAAAATCTATAAATAAGAGTTTATAAAAACACACAGCTTTGCCTTTTCCTCTAAAAGAACTTTAAGAAGCATAAGTTCTAGCACCCAGGCTCTGGGAATCCGGCAGCACAGAGTCTGGGTGGCCTTCTTTTTCTCCCCTTCTTGCACACTCCATATCCACAGGGCAAACTGTGCCTGCCTCTCCCGGGCCAACAGAACCAGTCAGGAATTAGCTTCAGAGAGCTCAGCCTCCTTGTCATGTTCCTATTGAGTTTCTCAAATTGGAGGCTGGGGAAGGGTGGGGAGGGGAAGGTTTGCTTGTTGTAATGCAGAGTGAATTTTCTGGCCTCTAAAGTGAGGTGGGTTTCAAAGATGATTCCTATTAAATCCTCCCACAATAATGCTTCGAGAGATTAACACGTGTTCCTTAGATGAATATATATGTATACATTCTTTTAATCTACATTCTAAGCTCATTAATAAGTACATTTCTGAGTTCCTTCAAAGAATGCTTATTGCAGTTTTTAAATAATAGATTACTTTATATTCCATTTTACTCCTGTCAGTAAAACAAGGAGTAAATAGAGTTCATTACTGGATAATACCCAAGTAATTTCTAGTTCAACGGCTATGAACCTTCAGTTCAGAGGTCAGAGGTTCTGGAAGCTATGGACAAAACACTTGTCCTCTTCCTTCAACTGCCTGCCTGAAAAGTAAGAATAAAATACAAGACAGCTCACCCAATTTTTGTGACTTTGTAAATCTAATTAATAATAGCAGCTAAAGAATCAATTTTAACTTCATAAGAATTGTTACAGATGATTACAACCCTTTACCTACAGAGTGTATCATTCTTTTTCTACCTTACAACTATTCTCTAACACAATGCATTTGTAAAGTCAACATAATCACTTGAATTTCCAGGTTATAAAATGTATGAATGCTCCTCCATCCCAATTTCTGGTCTTTAAAAATGCTACTTCTCTTTTTCAATACTGTATTATTAATACAATTACCTCGGTTGGTGTGCCTTATATATGTGACTTAGATATAATGAAAAATACCTCAGGCTCAAATTTAAATCATTTTGTATTTAAGCAATGATTTTACAAAATGTGGTAGAAAGGTGAACTAAATTTTCAGCTTAATTTGTTCATGTAAATCACCCTCAAAGTACATTACACCTAAGATGTGTATAAGATTTTACAAGCATTTTGAAAGAAATCACAAAGCAGCAGCTGCTTTTTCAATAAACTTGGCCAGTTTCACGTCTCTTTTGGTCAGTTGACCACAGTCATGCGAGGTGAGAGTTATCTGGACCTAAGAAAGAAAGAAGTAGTTTTAAAACCCTGACCTGCGATTTGTGGTATTCTGCTTTCATGGTTCAGAAATCAATCTATTATGCAACATTCATATTTAAGAACTGGTCAGAGTAAATTATTTAGAAAACATGAATAAATAGGACATTTCCAAAACCCAGTAAACTCCAGGGGCACAGTCAGCTTCAGGCTGGCCCCAGCAGCTGCCCAGGGATGAAAAGGTTCTCTCATATGACGGGCAATTCAGCTGCCAGAATCTCAAATTTTGTCTCTTGAAAAAAAGAGAGAGAGAGAGAGAGAGAGAGAGAGAGAGAGAGAGACTGAGATTTCATTTGAACTCCCATTACTTTAATTATACCCACTATTTTCAGGACGTTGAGAAAAACCAAGCTATCAAGGGTAATATCTTTGCAACATTAAAAAAGCCCATTTCCAAATTAGGAAAGTGAGGTCGTGTGGGATGAAAGAATAGACTCTTGCTTCTTTGCAAATCAATTAAAAAGCAAAAGCAAAGTTATGGGCAAGGAGAGGCAACTGTGAAAGAAAAGTTTATCCTGGTACCTACATGCTCTGAATTATTCCAATAAATCACAAAAATATGAAATTTTCTCTTTATTCAAAGAGGACTTTCAAAGAGAAAAAAGAACCCCAGAAAAAACTAGATAAATTCTAAATGGTATGACCATAGGCAAGGACACTTTTTGAGGGGTATTCTTCTCACTATGCCCCTTTAAAATTAATTGATGAAATCTTTTCAGTCTGCTGTTTGTCTTAAGAAGGTCAGTTCCCACTGCAGAAACAGCATTTAATAAATAGTTATTATTTAAAGAACAGCTTTTGAGCAAATTTACCTCGAGATATTTACTTCCGATTTTTTCAATAATTTACCTTAATAGGGTTTAACATTTTATCTGCGTGGCTGATATTCAAGTTTTTTTGTTTTGTTTTGTTTTGTTTTTTATTAGAAATATTTTTGAAATATTTTTATTGATTTCAGAGAGGAAGGGAGAGGGAGAGAGAGAGATAGAAACATCAATGCTGAGAGAATCATTGATTGGCTGCCTCTTGCATGCCGCCTACTGGGGATGGAGCCCGCAACCCTGGCATGTGCCCTTTGCTGGAATTGAACCTGGGACCTTTCAGTCCACAGGCTGACGCGCTGATATTCAAGTTTAATTCAGGAGCCTAATATGGCCCAACTTTCATATTAGTTTCAACAGAAGACAAACATGAAAATAAAGGGCTTAGTCACGGTTCTCTTGAGCAGATCTGAAAATTTGTTACTAAATTGCAATAATACACAGGGGTTCTGAGAAAAAAAAAAGAATACTTTCCTAAACACAATGACATTTAGCTGTACAGGAAGACAAGGAAGAAAGAGGTTTCCTAAACTCCATAATTCAGGTGATCCCAAAATAAGGCAATTTCATTACCTTGTTATAGGCATTGAACCATTCCGGGTGATGATTCATCTTCTCTGCTTGTAGAGCAACTCGAGACATAAAGCCAAAGGCCTGCATAAGATGAAGTCGAAAATGATTACTGGCACTGCCCTCTGCTCTGGACCTGAGAGAGACCCCAGAGCAATCCAACCAGATAAAGACATGGCTAGGGTCCTGAGGGAAGCCTGGAGAAACCAAATATGAAAGGGACTGCTCTCAGCAGAGCTGGGTAACGGTGTAGCAGGACCATGACCTGCTGCTCGATGGTGAAAACAATCAGGCTCAAATAAACAAAGCAGGAAATTGGTCTCACCCAGTGACCTGTCTGGACTGTTTAATTGTCCTCAGGACTAGACTCTCCAAAATAGCCCGGGAATAATTTCCCTTTAACCAGTGCCCTGGACCCCAACTCTTAGGAGCCACTTTTCTGGCAGCACTGCTCTTCTGTTTTTAGTGACTGGGCTATTAACAAGGTATCAACCTCAGGACTATGGAAGAATGTCTTTTGAGTGTGTCTTAAACCCAAAGCACTGACAGAAATGAACAACTTCCCTATTCTGTCTCTCAGGCAGGTCAGGAGGGGGTGAAACTCTTTTTATTGACATCCAGAATGAAACAAAAGTTTGGCTTGCCTGCTGGAGGTCTTCTTGCCGCTGCCCAGCATTAGCAATTCAAGCAGAAAGTGCCCCGGCTTTTGGCAGAGGGCTGTAGACCCAGCCACAGGTGGAGGGCTCTGTCTTCATACCACAGGGAAAGTGCAAACTTACTTTTAAAAAGCAGAAGGCAGCCCAGACCAGCATGGCTCAGTGGTTGAGCAACGACCTATGAACCAGAAGGTCATGGTTCAGTTCCCAGTAAGAGCACATGCCTGGGTTGTGGACTTGATCCCCAGTGTGGAGCGTGTGGAGGCAGCCAATCAATGATTCTCTCTCATCATTGATGTTTCTATCCCTCTTTCTCTCTTCCCTCCTCTCTAAAATCAATGAAAAAATATACTTTTTTTAAAAAAAAAGCAGAATGCAAACTTGTCCTGAGCCGGCGGGGGGGGGGGGAGGGGGACGGGACTTTTTTTCCTGCTTTCAAATTTTTATGAGGTGAATTGCAAACAATAGGAGAGTCTGTCTCTATTGTGCCCAGAAGGCAAAAATACTTGGTAAGACTCAGGTAAGGTCACATTAATCACTAAGGTACAGTGGAATTCACAGAGCCGTCCCCATTACAGCCACAGAAATAAAATTTAACTTCATTACCCCATCCAGAAAAACCAATCTGATGTTAGTTGCACTGTTTTTGGATTACCAAAAGACAAAAGAGCGCATTTCCAAGTTAAAAGTGAGAAATATGGAAGATGCCATTTTAAATAATTTCATTCATAATAGTTCCTATCTCAGAAGTCACTTTATTCAGGATAAATTTCCATTTTGACATTTAAGGCCTAAAGGAAGGAAATTCAAGCAAAATCCACTTAACCAAGTATGGAATTATCAGTGGGAAAGTACTATTCCCTCTCTACCCCTTCTTATTCCAACAATTCTCCCCACCCCAGGCACAGTTTCGCTTTCCATAGTTTCAATTACAGTGGTCAACCACAGTCTGAAAATATTAAATGGAAAATTACAGAAATAAACAATTCATAAGTTTTAAATTGTGCACTGTTCCAGGAGTGTGATGAAACCTTGCACTGCCCCCCTCATCCTGCCCAGGACATGAATCATCCCTTTGTCCAGCATACCCACACTGTATATACTACCCGCCCATTAGTCACTTAGTAGCTGTCTCGGTTATCAGTTCAGTCATCAAAGAGAAAGAGACCACAGTCACATAACTTTTATTATAATATACTAGAGGCCTGGTACACGAAATTCATGCACGGGTAGGGTCCCTAAAGGCCAATCTGTGAGGCGACAGCAGGGTGATCTGGCGGGCGCCTGCTGGCACCCGCCTTGGCCAGCCTGGCACTGCCTGCTTGCCAGCCCCGCCCCCCACCACTGCTGCCGGTCACCTCCCTCTGCGAGGTGACCAGTGAGGCGATCGCGGAACCCCACTGGCACCCACCTTGGCTGGCCTGGCGCCTGTGGGCTGGGGGGAGCTCCTACATTGAGCATCTGCCCCCTGGTGGTCAGTGCATATCACAGCGACCGGTTGTTCTGCCAGTCGTTCTGCCATTCAGTCAATTTGCATATTAGGCTCTTATTATATAGGATTGTTATAATTGTTCTATTTTATTATTAGTTATTGCTGTTAATCTCTTACTGTGCCTAATTTATAAATTAAACTTTATCAGAGGTATGTATGTATAGGAAAAACATAGTGTGTGTAAATATATATATATATATGGTTCAGTACTATCTACAGTTTTAGGCATCCATAGGGGTTCTGGAATGTATTATCCACAGATAAAGAAGAATACTGTAATCTGATTTTCTAGACTATGTGAGGGGAAGGGACAAGTCAAATGTGAAAGTCAGTTTTAATTATTCAAACACAGAGTTAACTTGTATTAAATGATGCATGAGAGTTTTTACTGTTTGTCTATAATGCCTTATTCTTGTTTAGCTTTAGAATACTTACAAGATTAACCACCTCTGAGAGACAGTAATATAGTCATTAAGGATATGTGCTTTTGAGCTAGTGAGTTCTGGATTCAAATACCAACTCTACTACTTAACTGCCATGCAATTTACCTCTAAGCCTTAGTTTTCTCATCAGTAAAAAGGGGATAATAATAAAAAGCTCATGTTATCTGAGTGGGGGGGGGTAATGGGGGGGTAATGTGGGGATAAGGACACATATGCAATAACTTAATCAATAAAACAATTAAATTTTTAAAAAAGTTCATGTTATCATTCTAACAAAAAATAAGACAGGGGATATCAATGCACTTGGCACAGCACTAGGCACAGAGTAAAAGGTCAATAATGGCACATACTGCTACCACTGCTGCTTCTGGCCGAACTTAACAAAACATAATGATGAATGACAAGCCTTCCCAAGCCCTGAGAATCTAAGATTCCAGTTGCTGTCTCCCAGAAGAATAGCCTTTTCCTTTTTCCATGTGCCAGGACTAGAGATTGATACACATATAGCTGACAATAGATAATATACTGTAGGGTAACACTATGATGAACATTTACTGGGAGAGAAACCAAGATGGCGGCATAGGTAAACACCGGAAATTGCTGCCTCGCACAACCACTTCAAAAATACAACTAAAAGACAAAACGGACATCATCCAGAACCACAGGAAGGCTGGCTGAGTGGAAATTCTACAACTAGAAGGAAAGAGAAAAGCATACTGAGACTCAGAGGAGGTGCAGAAGTAAAGTGCAGAGGTACGGAGGCACACGCCGAAAGGGCTGGCAACTGAGGACGCGGCACACGTGGAAAGGGCTGGCGGCTGAGGACGCGGTGCACGTGGAAAGAGCTGATGGCTGAGGACGCGGCACACGTGGAAAGGGCTGGCAGTTGAGGACGCGGCGGACGTGGAAAGGGCTGGCAGCTGAGGACGCAGTTGTCTTTTTCAATCGGGAGGGAGTCTCAAGCCCCCAACTGCTCTGAACTCCAGTTCCAGGTGAGTCTCTGGGGACCCTGACTCATACAGGGAGAAACTGGACTGCCTGGCGTCAGGCAGAACTCGAGGGCGGCTTTCTCTCAGAGGTGCTTACAGCGATTACCAGGGACACTGAGACCCAGGGCCTCTTAGGGTAGGACTGGGGAGCAGCCATAACTGCTTGCTCTGCTCTGTTGATCCCGAGACCCCGCCCCACCCAAGCTGTGCACAGAGGCTTTTGCATATGAAAGGTCTGGCCCTTTGTAACCTGAAAATTACCTAACAAACTGCAGCTGGGTCAGAGAGACCCAGAACTTCCAAAAGAAGGCCCAAGGCCCCACAGCAGCTTGCACTGCTTCACAGCTGGGCCTCATCTGGGCACCTCCAAACTCCAAACAAAGAAGAGGAATCTCTCCATAGCTCCTGCTGGGTAGCCTCAGGCAGAGGCTAAATTAGCACCTCCTTAGAGATCCAAGAGCCAGTGTACCCAGTGGTCAGAGTGGAACCATCCAGATTACAACTCCTCAGATCCATAAGGGACACACTCACGGGGCAGACTCAGTGAGCACCAAAGCCCCACTGAAGCAAGTCTTGCCCCAGAAAGGAGTCTCCAGCACAGAAGTTCTCCCACTGCAAACACAGCTGATTCTCACAGCCAACTGGCCTGGAGGTCAATTCCTCCCAGTGATACCTACAACAATCAAGACTTAACTACAACAAGACTGTGCACAAAGCCCACAAAGGGGTGCACCAAGAGTGTCCACCTCAGGTAATTGGGGAGGCTGAGCCACTGGGCCCTATAGGACACCTAACACAGAAAGCCACTCTATCAACACAGGGAAGCATAAAAAATGCGGAGACAAAGAAACAAGTCACAAATGACAGAAATGGATAAAAGCAAACTACTGGATATAGAGTTCAAAACCACACTTTTAAGCTTTTTCAAGAATTTTCTAGAAACCGCCAATAAATTTAGTGAGACCCTCAAGAAATCTAGTGAGACCGCCGATAAATGTAATGAGACCCTCAAGAAATCTAGTGAGACCCTCAAGGTTATGAAAAAGGACCAACTAGAAACTAAGCATACACTGACTAAAATAAAGGATATTATGCAGAGTTCCAACAACAGACTAGAGGATCGCAAGAATCAAGTCAAAGATTTGAAATACAAAGAAGCAAAAATCACCCAACCGGAAAAACAAAAAGAAAAAAGAATCCAAAAATATGAAGATAGTGTAAGGAGCCTCTGGGACAACTTCAAGTGTACCAACATCTGAATTATGGGGGTGCCAGAAGACGAGAGAGAGCAAGATACTGAAAACCTATTTGAAGAAATAATGACAGAAAACTTCCCCTACCTGGTGAAAGAAATAGACTTACAAGTCCAGGAAGCGCAGAAAACCCCAAACAAAAGGAATCCAAAGAGGACCACACCAAGACACATCATAATTAAAATGCCAAGGGCAAAAGACAAAGAGAGAATCTTAAAAGCAGCAAGAGAAAAACAATCAATTACCTACAA